TGCCCCTACCCTCCGGCTCTCGGTCCTGCGCGGCGCCAGCCTCCTGGTCCGGCTGAATTCCCCTCTGCGCATCCCGGGCTTTCGGTCCCCGCTTTCCACAAGGCCCACGTCCAGGCGATCCCCGGCCCCCTCGTGATGGCGTCGCTCCTGTGCTGTGGACCCAAGCTGGCCGCGTGTGGCATCGTCCTCAGTGCCTGGGGAGTGATCATGTTGGTGAGGGGGCTGCCCGGCGAGAAGCGCAGAGGGCCTGCAGGGGCCCTGGGGTGGAGGGCTGGGCGGCTGCCCGGGTAACTGTACTCCGCGGAGAGAGGGAGGACTGAGATTGAGGAATGAGGGCCTGTGGGGGCCACGGGGGTGCTGGAAGAGGAGCCGGGGCTAGCAATTTTGGGGACCTGTCAGTGTAAGAGGCAAAAGATCTGCACTTCCCAGAGATCCCGGAGCTGAATGAAGGGAACCGAAATGGGCTCTTTCCCCGGGACCCTGTTTGCCGTGGCGACTTCCCCTTATTGCCTCTGCCGCGTCCCGTGATCTTGACGCCCCTGGGGAGGTCGGGGTGAGGAGGATCACCCAAGTTCCTGGGAAAGATGGGCTGTTCGCTGTGCTGCGCATGTCCCAGCTACTCATGTCAATGTCACCGCCTCACCCTCGACTTCAGGTGGCCCGGTCCGAATCCGACCGCGACAGCTCCTAATCCTAGCTCCTTCTGGTTATTACCAGACCCGGGTGTTGTGGCAACATCGGGCAGAGGTGGGAGTGGCTGAGGCAGTGACCTGGAGGCTAGGTGCCCCAGTTCAACAACCAACCCATTCATCTCTCTCCAGATAATGCTCGGGATCTTTTTCAATGTCCATTCCGCGGTCCTGATTGAGGATGTCCCCTTCTCGGAGGAAGATTTTGAGTGAGTCTGGGAGGTGGCCGGGCCTGTGGTCACAAGGATGGGCGGAGAAATGCGGGAAGCTGGCACAGTGGGCTAAGCATTGAGCTGCCGACGGCATGGTCAGCTGTTCGAACCTACCAGGTGTTCCACGAGGGAAAGAGGAGGCTGTATATTCCTGTAAAGATTTACACTTTTAGAAGCCCAAAGGGGCAGTTCTACCCTACCCTCAAGGGGCACATGAACCGACTGGATGGCACTGCATTTAGAATTTGGGGTTTGGACAGCTGGAAGGAGCCATGGTGGCAGGGCTACTTAGAGATAGCGGTACTTAGAGGCCCAGAGGCTCTTGGGATCCAAGAGATGCTTTGGGGAGGCTGACTCGCCAGTTTAGGTGCGGCCTCTTTAGGCATTTCATCTGACTTCTCAGTGCCTCAGTCTACGCCTGCAAAATGGGGGTGGAACTCACCTCGCCAGAATTGTGACAATAAGACACATTAATGCATCTAGAACGATACCAGGCACACAGTTAACGTGCTCCATAAATGTTGGATGCTGTTAATATTCTGACGCTTCTCTGCCTAATCCCCACCCGCCCCTAGGAACGGCCCCCAGAAAATATACCACCTCTATGAGCAAGTGAGCTACAACTGTTTCATCGCCGCGGGCCTGTACCTCCTCCTAGGAGGGTTCTCTTTCTGCCAAGTCCGGCTCAATAAGCGCAAGGAATACATGGTGCGCTAGAACGACATACTCGCTGTCTCCGCTCCACTCCTAGAAGACCGCCTCCCCGGAGACCCACCCATCGGGCACCCTCTGCAGGACTGGGTTTCCCTGGCGACGGACGGACTCCCTAGTTCTCCCCGGTGCCCGGCGCTCTCGCCTCGTCCTGTACCACAATAAAGAGAAACTGCTCTCTTAAGCCTTGTGTCCCTGCTTGTGTGCGGGAGGGGAGAGGGCGGAAGATCGGCCTCCAAGCAGGGGGCATGGGCCCCTTGGCGGAAGTGGAGGGAAGCGGGGCCCGGAAGTGAGGCAGATCTTCCCTCCCTTCCCTGCGGGCGCGGAGGCGGCCCGAGCCGTCGCGGCGGGGGGAGGTGTTAGCGGCCGCGTGCAGCCAATCAGCGGCGGGCTTGGGCGGGACTTCCTGCGCGGGGGCCGGCACGGCGCGGCGCGGGCTCCGGCTTCGCTGTGGTCCCGGTTCGCGTGGCGGCGGCGGCGGTAGCGTCTCCGTGCGGGGGCGCGCAGGGCCATGACGTCAGCGTCCACCAAGGTTCGGGCTCCCTTACGACAGCGCTCTCTGGCGGCCACGGGAGGGCCCCCCCCACTAGGCTTCTGGTTTATTCGCCCCCCGGCGAGTGCCGCGGGAAGTGGGGTACGGGAGCGGCGCCCGGGGTGGGGCTAGGGGCTTCAGGTGGGGCCGCGCGGCGCGGGGGCGCCGCCGCCCCCCAGTAATGCTGCCCCGTCCCCAGGTCGGAGAGATTTTCTCCGCGGCGGGCGCCGCCTTCACGAAGCTCGGGGAGTTGACAATGCAGCTGCATCCTGTCGCCGACTCTTCTCCCGCGGGGTACGTGAACCCGGCCTGGGACGTGGACACCGAGCGGGGACGCTCGGTGACAGACAAGGACACTCGCTAGAGCAGGGACAGGTGTTAGTCTTCCTTTGTGCCTGGCACGGTGTAGGGTAGGCGTTAATAAACGATCGCTGCACGAATGGCAGGTGAAAACACAGCCCCATCGAGTTCCCAGCTCTGTCCTGCGCCTGACCAGCGGATCTCGGACCACCTGCCCTCCCCAGACATCCCAAAGCTCCTGGAATTCCTCAGACGGCTGCCGCCTGTGTTCAGGACCTCTGTCCCTTACCTGGCCTGTTGAACTGGTCTCAGGACCCTTTACACAGAAGCAGGCTGATACCGTGGGGCGAGGGTGGGGGGGAGTGTCGGTTATCAAGTGGCTGAGGGTCCTCAGGCTTCCCTAATGGACCCTGAGTGTTTTGTATAAAGGCCCTCGTTACACTACTTGGAGGAGGTCTCCAGAGATGGGCAGAAGGAGGCTGGCGGGCCGGGACTGCATAGCTCTGCTTGGCTCCACACCCCTCCTCCCTTTCTGCTACCCCCTCTCCCTCTGACAGTGCGAAGTGGACCGACACGGAAATAGAGATGCTGAGGGCTGCCGTGAAGCGCTTTGGGGACGATCTTAATCACATCAGCTGTATCATCAAGGAACGGACAGTGTGAGGGCGGGTGGCTAGCAGAGAAAGGGGGTGGGTGGTTTTCTTCGGAACGCACTGCTCCACACCTGCCCAACTTTGTTACCAGTTGTTAGCATCCCCCTGCAAACTGAACAAATAACAAGAATGACCACAGAATGACCTCGGTTGGTCCGACATGCTATGGTAATCTGGGCATCCCAAGAACTGGGTTTTAGGTTGCCTGAGATACCCAATTATTGGATTTGATCAGGTTTCCCTGATTATTTTTATGGAACCTTTGAGACTGTGACAGGATTTTCCAGGAAGAGTGTGGTTCTGAAATTGCTGTCAGGCCACCTCATGCTTGTCCTTCTGCCTGTAGATGACCTGGCCGCTCGCCTGGCGGGCCTCTCTCAGTGCCTGTATTCAGAGCTTCAGGAAAATGAGACCCCAACCAAAAAGGCTGAAGCCCTCACCCAAACGCATAGGGTGGGGCTCCCTAGAATACTTACAGGGTGACCCATTGCCCTCTCCCCTGCCCCCTTTCTTCCTCCAGTCTGTTGACGCCTTCCTCTCCCTTCTCTCAGGGCTCAGATAAAGGCCACCGTGAAACGCAAGGTATACGAAGACTCTGGCATCCCTCTCCCAGCGGAGTCACCCAAGAAAGGGCCCAAGAAGGTGGCATCTGGTGTTCTGTCGCCTCCTCCAGCAGCCCCTCCAACCAGCAGCTCCATTGTCCCGGAGGCCGGGGGTCCCCCCATAAAGAAGCAGAAGGCTGGTGAGGGCTACGGAGTTGCTGCCTTGGGGTTAAAGATCCCAGCTGAGGTTCAGTGAGAGAACTGGGCGTGGGCCAAAGACAAATCTCTCTTCTTCTTCCCCCATGGAGGTTCCCAGAGCGGCTTGCAGGGGAGGGGGGGGGGGCAGCAGGACACCTTGGGAAGCTGTGGGGGCAGCTAGGGGAAGCTAGAACCTAGCGTATGCCCCCCTCCCAGATGTGACCCTCAGTGCCCTGAACGACTCGGACGCCAACAGTGACCTAGTGGATATTGAAGGGCTAGGAGAAACCCCTCCAGCCAAGAAACTCAACTTCGACCAGGGTAGGAGTCCTCCTCCCCACACACCCACTGAAGGGGAAAGGGAGGAAGTGCTCACCTGGCCGGCAGGGGCTGGTCTTAGCTGGAGCCCCTTCCCTTATCCTGGGGCTCTGGACAGGAAGTGCCCTCTTACAGTCCAGGGGGCTGACTCAGGCAGGGGCAGGGGCTTTGGCGAGGTGGGGGATTTTCCCGGAACCATGTTTGGGGCTCGCTCCATCTCTGCCCGTTTTACTTCCTGTTCCAGACAGCCTGACCCTGGACTCTGGCCTTCTCATGACCTCTGCGGACCCTCCTCTCCTCTCCCACTGAAGCCTTCTGCTTCTGACCCCTCTCACTGGTCACCTGGACCCGGAGATGACCCAGGACTCCCCCGAGGCTGGTGCGAGAGGTCCAAAGGCTGCTAGGGCTGGAAGAGCCCCCCCTTGTCCCTGAAGAGCCATCTGCTGCCCCCTTCCCTCCAGCCCTTTGACTTCCACCGGATAGACATTTTTATACAGAAAATGAAAACAATAAAAACCTCTCTCTCTGCCTGGTGCCTTATTGGTGTACAAGGGGTCGTTCCATCCCCTCCGCCCTCAGGGTTTGGTGTCCTTACCACCACCACCATCCCACCACCCCGGCAGCGCTTGCCACCCTGCCTGGAGCAGCACAGCCAATATTGGTAGACTCACTTCCCAGTGCCAATATTTCTGTGCTGCTAGAGCCAGGGGAGCTGGGTGTGGGCAACAAAGACTCCCCTTCAGGCTCTCCGGAGGCAGCAGCGCTTAGTCCCAAGGTCTCTGGCAGCCAAGAGCCTTGACACTACGTTGGGGATTTTGAGACGTTGTTTCCAGTGCTTTCAAAGCCCTGACAACCCACCTCCCCCACCCAAGCCCCACCACCCCACGCAACAGCAAGGAGTTTGTCCCAGGCTCCTGATGTGTTCTGTGCAGCGTCTCCAGGATGGCCTCCCAGGGCCAGGCCTCAGCGGAGCCTCCCCCACCCTCGCTCTAACACCACAGTGTGGTTTGGACGTGGCCACAATGCCGTGCAAACCACAGTGTGCTGCTGGGGCGGGGGCAGGACTGGGTGGGTTGAGAGGAAGGGAAGATTAGGCGGTGCTGTGAAGACCCCTTCCCCACCGCCACCACCAAGAGCAGGGCGCAGAGACGGCTTCAAAGGCAAACATGGCCCAAGAAAGGGGGGAGGGCAGGGAGGCAAGAAACCAGGGTTAGAAGCCCAGCAAGCAATTGGAGGGAGAGAGGCCTGAGGGATGAGCTCACGGTGTCCTAAGATTGGAGCCATCATTCCCCTGTCAGGACTCACCTCAGGGGGGTCCCTAGGGTGGGGTTAGAAGCAGTAACTAGGGAATGACTGAAGGGCCAACCAGAAGCCTCCAACTCAGCTCGGGCAGGGACCAAACTTCCTGTGTCCATTCCACCCCTCCCTGGGTCAGACCCACGAGAGCAGCAAGGAGAGACAGGGCCAAGGCCGGCAGGGTTGGGAGCTGGCAGTCCAGAGGTGGTGGGGCTGGATCGTGATGGGAAGGGGGGGGCCGGAAGCCGCCCTGGGTCCTGGGCCTGACACAAAATGGAGGCCAAAGCCGGGAATGGAGGCCGGTGGGGAAAGGGGAGCAGCAGGGCTCAGGAAGAGGGTCATCTGGACTTAGGGGGTCAAGTCTTCAACCCCTAGTGCCATCCTTGCCCCCCCAGACCCAAGGCCCACCCTCAAAACAGCCCCCATCAGCCCATCCACCAGGCCCAGGCAGGCAGGCCCACCCCAGAGAGCCACGTTGAAGCTGACACACACATGCCTCTCCCTACCCCCACCCTGGGCCTTCCCTCAGCCTTTTCTCTCCTTTCCAGGGCTGGATTCTCCTCAAAGCAGACCCAAGAAAGCAAAATCTAGAGACCAAAATCCCTCCTGCAAGTCAAAATAATGCCCTCTAACAGCCAAAAGTTCTTTTCCTACCGCCCATCCCACCCTCCACTAGCCCCCTCCGACACACCCCCCAGAACTCTCTGCAAGCAGAGCTGTGACATGGTGGGTGTAAGCAGTCTTTTTAGGCCCTGAAGACCTCCAGTCCCACTCCTCCCCCAAATGTCCTATATCAAATCTTGTCAGGGCCTCATGCCCCTCACTCCACCCTCTAAAGCCCCCAAACTGAGCAGCTGCCCCCCAGCTCCCATCTTCGGCAGAGTCTTGATAGGGGTGAAACAGAAATCAAATACCATGTTAACGGCTGGGAGAAGTTGGGGGGCCCTCTAGTCTCAGTCTTTGACTTCCATCTGCTAAATGCAGTTTAGGGGCATAAAAGAAAGTCTCTTTTATCATCCCCCCAGTTCCAAGACTCACAAAGCCCAACCCCACCCCAGCACGCACCTCCAAACCGCCCCCCCCAACCGCCACGTCTCTCCTGAAAACAGGGGACACTGTCCTCCCCACTTACCTCAGCTACTCTCCCCTGAGATCCTGGTCCCCTATTTTTGAAGGGAGAAAAAATTGGGGTGCATCCCTCACATTTGGGGTGCAGAAGAAAGGAGCCACCCCAGTCGCATCGCTGGCCTCCTTCCTCTCGACTGGCTCTGGGAGTGGGGAGTGCCCTAGGGAGGAGGGACCCCCACAAGACATCTCAGAGGGGGGTTTCTTCACTCCCAGTCAGAATTGGGGACACCCCCCACAAACCCGTCCCAGCCCATCCGTCTCCAACTCGGCGGGAGAGGCAGCTGCAATGCCCCAGTCAGATTCCCCCAACACTACATTCCTCACCCCACTTAGAGGGGTCCTGGAGCCCCCCAAAAATCCCAAAAAAATCTAGGATGTTGGGAGGACGGTCTTGGACTAGTTCCCCAAATTTGGGGTCCTCAGCTAGCCCCGTTTTTTCAGGAAAATTCTGCCTTTCTCCTGCCTCCCGCCAGCCCTGCTCTGTCCAGATGCCAATTTTGGAAGTCACTCCCTCCTTCCTCCTCCCGGTCTCTTCAGGCGCCCCCCCACACACCCCACCTCGCTCGGGGACTAGGGTCCAGGACACCTAGCTTCCAGACAAGGGGGAAGGCACTCCCCAAAAGGTTAGGGGCCAGGAGGTCAAGCTCATTGCCCCCGTCTTAGGAAGGCAGGAAAGCCCGATCCTCCCTACCCCTCCCCCCTGGCTGGTCTCGGTGGTGGTTTAGGAAAGCCTGGAGGATTGGAATCTGCCATTGCTATTGCACAGGCAGCTTTTTTCCCCCTTGGGTTGTGGGGGGGCGGTGGGAGGGAGAGAGGGGAGGAGAGCCGAAAGAGCAGAGACCTAAGCGTGCAGCAGTGGCCTGGCTTACCCCCTAACCCCTGGTGCCTGGAGACCCCGCTCCCCGCGCCTCACCCACACCGAGTCCTCTGCCTACTTTCTGTTTGGGGCTCTCCCCACAGAAACTCAGGGCTCGGGAATCCCTTCCTTGCCACAGTTCCAACGGTACTGTGATAGTCCCGGGAGTGCACTTAACCACGAGGGACCCCCGTTCTCCCACCTTCCCCCACACGGAGGGGTGCTCCCTTAGGATTTGGGGTTCGGACCTGAAACCATCACTTCCCCCTCAGATCTATTAGGCAGGACATATCATAGGAGGACGTAGTGTACTCCCATTCCCAGCTTCTTCCTTCCAATCAGAGTTCTAACGTACATCCCCAACGGGGCTGATTTAGGGGGTCACCAAACACGGAGATTTCTAGAATCTGGGGTGAGAAAGAACCCTCAGCCAAGAATAACACCCAAGCATCAGAGTGTCTGCAGTTAAGTGACCCCATAAATCAGACTCACCTTATGTTCTATGTATGAGCATCACCAAATGTACCCAAAGAGCACATGCCCCCCAAATAATGACACCCCAAAATGTTGTCTCCCGCTCTGGGGGACCTCCCTTTGTTTCTTGCCCCTTCCCCAAAAGGCGTCTTGGATATCCTTGCACATAGAGGAATGTCCCCCTCAAGTAAAATTTCCACAACTTTCTTCTCCCTGCCCCCCCAACTTTCAAAAATAGTTTAGATCCTCCCATGGTGACAAGAACCCTCAAACACAAAAGGCCTTCCAACTTGCTCCCAGCTTCCTAAGATGCTTCCTCTCGAGCTAATCAAACACCGCCAAGTTGAATTTTATAACCCTGACCATCATACTGAGACTTGACACTTACATTGTACCCCCAAATCGGCTCTCACTGACAATCAGCAAGAATGCCATGCTTAAAACCAGACTGGGAAGAAGCTGACCTGTCAATATAGAGTGATGACTTTGAATCCCCTTCAAATCAAACCCTCACCCACTTCTTGAAGAAGGCCCAGCAGGCTCTCCTGCTATTCCAAGAGGACAGATCATACAACCCCCAAATTGTAGGTGCCAGGACACCCCCTCCCCCATCAGAATGAGTTTAGTTTCAAAATGAAATTCCACACCTTAAAATGACCATAGGCTCTCAAGTCTAAATAGGGCCCTAGTGTTTATAACCACAGAACCCATTCAACACCCGTAGTAAGTAGAGACTCCACAACTGAGCAGTTAACGGAATATCGAGTCCACCTGATGTCAAAGGGAAGCCCCCTAATTTAACCCCTACCTCCAAACTGGGCAGAGACCACTCCCATGCCAAAACCACCTTACTCTCCGGAGTCCTTAGTGGCCCCATGATGCCCAGTGTCAGGGCTCCCCCTTTGTACACCCCAAATAAAGACACTATCAAATCTAAAGGGGGTCAGGCCTGGACAAACAGTTCTGTGGACAATAGTCAGGGGTCTCTTGTGCAGATTCTCCTGAGCCCAAATCCCGGGGGCTTCTGCTTTGCAGCTGAAGTTAACTAACTCTGGGCCCCCTTCTCCAAATGAATCTTCCCCCACCCCCAGGTCTGCTCACACAAAGTTGGAGGGCGCTGTGCCTGCCTAGTTACTAGAGAGGCTTCCGCCCTCCTGCCTTCTCCAGCTCCCAGACCCCTTCCCTGCTTTCCCTCCTCTGTTCACCCCACCCCACTTTCAGAAAGATGTACCCCCCCAAAGAGCTCTGCATAATAGTGCTGAATCTGTTTTGATTAGAAAACAAAGCCCTGAACTCAGGCCCCCCTCCTGGCTCCCAAAGTCCGAGGTGTTTCCCCTTAGGAATTCCGGCTTCCAGACCAGGGAAGGGGGAACTCCACCAAAGGCTAGAGGCCAGGAGATCAAGCTCTTGGTCCCATGCTTCAGGCAGTCCAGTTGGCCCTTCCTCTGCCTTTTACCCCAGGTAGAAATCCGCCAGGGGGAAAGTCCCCTCTGCCCTCTCACTCTCCTTCCAGCCTCCCAACCCTCCCCCTGGGATACAGAGGGGCTAAATAAGTCAGCGCGTGGGGGG